GGCTATTCCTTCTCCAAAGCTTTCGTTCCCCTCAGAAGAAAATCATTGGTGTAAACAGATGAGCGTTTGGTTTTTTTTTTTTTTTGAAAATCCTTTTGGGGAAAGACATGTAAGCGAATTAAAAAGAGCAGACGACTTGGTGAGGTTTTAAGCTTTTTAGGATTTGACTCTAAATATGCCTCGTACAGAAGACGGCATGTCTTCCGTGCTTTTCGCCAGCGGGGGAGGGGGTTTTAATGAACATTGTGGAGTCTGTACCTCTCTCTCCACAGCCGGGGGTCACTGTGCAGCAGTCCTAACGCTGGGGAAGCTTTTTCATTCTCGCGAGTCGTGAACGCTGCCCTGAACGACCCTGAAGAGGGTTCCCCCGTCGCTGATCATAGCCTCCTCGGTGCACTCCTCTAAGCACAGCCCTTGGGTCGGAGAGAGTAGTAACAACTTGATATTTTCGTCACAGGTCATCATGGTCACCGGAGACCATCCCATCACAGCCAAAGCCATTGCCAAAGGTGTGGGCATCATCTCCGAGGGCAACGAGACCGTGGAGGACATTGCCGCCCGCCTCAACATCCCCGTGAGCCAGGTGAACCCCAGGTGAGCAGGAAGCGCAAAGCAGAGCCGGCCTTGAGGGTGCAGACGGTGGGGTGAAAGCTCCCGCTGGGGCCGGCGTGGTTTCCCTCCAGGTCACCCCTGAGTAGGGAAATGCCCCCCAGGGCCCAAAAGTGACCTGAACCAGTCGTCACAGCCAGCTCAGGTGCTGCTCACTGTCCTGAGCACGTGGTAGTGTAACGTGGTCAGGTGGGTGCTAGCCCCACCGGGCAGGGCAGGGACACAGGGCTTAGTCATGCGGTGCACCCGGCATCTGCCTTCTGTCACGCTGCTGACCACTGGGCAGTACTACCTAGCACCTCGCCAATTCCACTTCCACAAAGAGGGAAGACAGTTGCCCAGGTAATTCAGGGCCAAAAGGGAAATTTTGGCAAAAGGTAAAATAGAAATAGATTTGTTTTTCATGTGTTAAGGTTTAGGGCCCCTTCGCCCATCTTTGGGGTGAGGGGAAGGTTTCATCTTTCCTCGGCTCCTGTCTAAAACTCAGTCATACGATTTGACCGTGTATTTCACGGGGAGAGGGAGGTGCCGGGCAGGCCTGCCCCGAGTGAAGTAACAGAATGAAAGCTCTCTGTAACCTACGAGATACAGTGCAGAGAGCAGCTTCCGCAGGACGGGACCGTTCCCCTCTCGGAGCCGCTCACCGAGTGCCCTGCCACCTCTGGGCTGAGCAGATGCCAGGGACGAGGCGGGTGACCCTCCCCCCGGTTCCGCTCCCAGGGACGCCAAGGCCTGCGTGGTGCACGGGACTGACCTGAAGGATATGACCTCCGAGCAGCTGGATGACATCCTCAAGTACCACACGGAGATCGTGTTCGCCAGGACCTCCCCGCAGCAGAAGCTCATCATCGTGGAGGGCTGCCAGCGGCAGGTCAGTGCGCGGCCGGGACAGACAAACGGCAAAGCGGCCGTCGGAGAGACGCAGCCCGGCTCTCCTCAGACTCAGTACACGCGTGCCAGGGAGAGGCACGGAGAAAAGGGCAACTTGATAGCGGTTTAGTAGAGACATGCGCTTCACTGGGGGCAGCCAGGCTCCTGTCCACACACACCTGCTGGAGGGGCCAGGAGGAATGACCTTGAAACAGCGAGGTGGGGGGCGGCGGGGAGAAGAGGGCTTCCCCGAGTGCCACTCCTCGAGTCCTGGCCGGTAGCCCTCGTTAAAGGGGGTGATGGGTGTGCTGTCACTCCTCACTCGGTGGCTTGGGCGCAGCTGTGGGTCTGAGACTGCGTGTCTGTGGGGAAGGAGCCGTGTCTGACGGGGAAAGGCAGGTGGAGGCAGCACCTCCCTCGTGCCCGTCGACACAGCTGTGACCCGCGCCTCTCCTCCTCCTGGTAGGGCGCCATCGTGGCTGTGACTGGCGACGGTGTCAACGACTCTCCGGCTTTGAAGAAGGCGGATATTGGGGTTGCCATGGGGATCGCCGGCTCGGACGTGTCTAAGCAGGCTGCCGACATGATTCTCCTGGACGACAACTTTGCCTCCATTGTGACTGGAGTCGAGGAAGGTGAGCTCCGTGTAAACTGTCCACCACACGCCTGGCCCGGCACTGCCTGTCGGGATCCATGGCCGGGCACGGCCACTGCACGGACTACACTGTCAGCGAGACAGTAAAAACCGTGCCTTCCTAGGTCGTCTGATCTTCGACAACTTGAAGAAATCCATCGCCTACACCCTGACCAGTAACATTCCAGAGATCACCCCCTTCCTGATATTTATTATTGCGAACATTCCGCTGCCGCTGGGCACCGTCACCATCCTCTGCATTGACCTGGGCACGGACATGGTGAGCGAGCGTCCGTGTCCACACAGCCCGATGTGAGGGGCCACGTCGGTGCTCCCCGGGCCCACCTGACCACCATTAGCAATTCCCAGCATCAGAGACTCAATGCTATGCTTCAGGGCAACTGTCAACACCTATTTATCAGACAGGAGTCTTGCCTTGTGTATAATCCTGCTGTTTTATTTGTACTGAGGGGGGTGGAGGGGAAGTTGGAATATCTCATGGTACGAAAAGCAGGTTTTTAAAGCAGGGGCAGGGATTTTATTACAGAGGTGGTTGATGACTGGCACCCCTTCCTCCCCAGGTTCCTGCCATCTCCCTGGCCTACGAGCAGGCTGAGAGTGACATCATGAAGAGACAGCCCCGCAACCCCAAGACGGACAAGCTGGTGAACGAGCGGCTGATCAGCATGGCCTATGGGCAGATCGGTGAGCCGCCCAGCGAGCAGGAAGCGGGCGAAGGGACAGAGGCTGGGGTGGCACCGCCTCAGAGCCAGGATTGCCGTGCCCCGGGCGGGTTTGGGGTTTTAAAGTCCTCCTCCCCGGGAGGGACTCCTAACCGGCTGCCCAACGCCACCTGCGACTGAGCCTGCCCCTTCTGGGTGCAGCACTGGGCACTGCCTGGGATACATGGTGCCCATCACTAATCTGGCTAGAGAGGAAGGCTTTGAAGGAATGACCTGGGTTTAAGGTTGGCTGGCCGGCCACCACCCAGTGGTGACCCTGGGCTTGGTTTCTGTTCTGCCTGCGGAGCGTGGCCAGTTACCAGGGGCCCCGGGTGGAGGGCAGTGGAAATGCCTGTGATCGAAACACTCTGCCGAGCCCCCTGTTCTGGTTCGGGGGCTGCCTCGCTGTGGGCACTCGGGGAAGTGGGACAGATTAATGACAGCCTCTGACAGCAAAGGAATTGGCTGGTAGCCCGTCCGACTCCGTCAAGAAGACCAGGCCCAGGGTGTGGGGTGACATTTTGTGCTGAGGAACTTGGGGGGAATGAGCTGGGTTGGATGCTGGCAAAAGGCACGGTACAGACGTTGAGGGATGGGGAAACTCCATTTCTCAGCGGTTGAAAGTAGGGAAGCGATTCTCCTCAAGGGTCGCGCCCTGCATGAAGCAGATGCCCAGGTCCTAGAGGGGTGTTGATGAGCAGGGACGACAGCCGCTGACAGCAAAGGAATTGGCTGGTAGCCCATCCGACTCCGCCAGGAAGACCTAGTTTTGAGCAGAAGGAAGACCAGGCCCAGGGTGTGGAGTGACATTTTGTGCTGAGGAACTTGGGGGAATGAGTTGGGTTGGATGCTGGCAAAGTCCATTTCTCGGCGGTTGTAAGTAGGGAAGCGATTCTCCTCAAGGATCACGCCCTGCATGAAGCAGATGCCCAGGTCCTAGAGGGGTGTTGACGAGCAGGGCCCACCTGTCGTACCTTTTTAAGTTCTAAACAGGTGATTCAGAGTAGAGAGGGCGCTGGGTGTGTGCCCCTATCCTCCTGGTCCTCGCTGGGGAGGAAGCAGGCAGCACTCCTGAGCCTCATCAACCAGAGCCGCCCCGCCCTGCCCGGTGCCCCCAGGCCTGCTGCCCCCTCAGAGGAAGGGGGTAGCGACACCCTGTCCCAGGCTCTGGCCTGAAGGTCCTCTCCCCTCCTCTCAGGTATGATCCAGGCTCTGGGGGGCTTCTTCACTTACTTTGTGATTCTGGCCGAGAACGGCTTCCTCCCGATTAACCTGCTGGGCATCCGCGTGGACTGGGACGACCGCTGGATCAACGACGTGGAGGACAGCTACGGGCAGCAGTGGGTG